ACGTAGGTGGTGCAGTATTAGGGCAACTCTGAATCTTGAAGTCACCTTTGTGCACAGGTGTACCTGAAAACCAAGACCAACCCTTTCCAGGTACACAACCAAAATGTTATACCCAGACAAAGCACTAACCATGCCAATACCCTTCCACGAAGCATAAATACTTGCATAGAGTATACCTGTTCTCCTACTGCTGAATGGTATTGTTTCCTGCTAATTATCCTTTGTTTGTTTTGACAAGAAAATGCAAGAATATCCCAGTCCCTTGCTCTTTTTCTCTGAAGGCATACAATCAGACAGAACTACACAGATTTTAAAGAGAAAAAAAATGTCAAAATATTGGCAGCATCTCCATGCTGAAGAAGCAATAAAACCCAAGTGGAGGCAAGGGAGTATTTTGTGCTAAACTATTCACCCAGGATAGGCTTCTGTCTGACTGTTTTACAAGTTATGAATTCTAAAGCTACTCATAAGATGTAATAGATGCTAAAAATTGCCAGTGCTAACCTGCACTATCATTTCTGTTATCAAAAGTGTTTATTACAAAATTTAACTGCAATAATGAGCTCTAAGGTATTAGACTTATTTCATTAAAATAAATAAATAAATAAATATAAAAAATACAGTGACCAGAATGTAAATAGTTTTGTTTACCATTATTTCTAGAAGTCTGATCATAAGATAAAAGTGAAATACTAATTTCCAATGAGAACTGCATATCCATCCCTACCTGTGTATAGGGACTGTATGTTTTCATGCATATATTTAATCTAGAAAGAAGTTATAAATTTTAAATTGTATCATATAAATGTATGTATATATATACATGTACTTGTACATAGATATATAAATTGAAAATGTATACAATTAATTTTATTTATTTGTGTGCTTATGAGCTGAAAAACAAAAGAGCGTGGGGATGTTTTCCCCTTTTCTTTTAAAGGCAGTAAGAGCAATTCCCAAGACAATGAAGTTGTCTGCACATCTCCCCTTGCACTCCTCATACACCTAAAGAGATTGCAAAGCTCGGATCGGCACATGCTGAGTTTTGGCTGATGCAGAAGAACACTAAAGCAACCCTGAGGTTCAAATGTTGCGTGTCCAGGGAGGCAAGGGGATGAAGTTCATGTCTTTTGTATCTGGATGGTGATCTGTTCCACTCCCCCAGAACAAGGCAGGCTTGGGCAGTGCAGTCTGCTGTGAGAAGCTGCAGTCACAGGCGGGAGGAAGCCCTCTGTGAGCAATACCACGGCACCAGCAATAAAACTGAGGGGAGAAGTGGCTGACTGGCAGTTTTGGGTTAGAGAGTTCCTGTCTCCTACATCCCGAGATAAGGATTTGGCAGGTCGGGAGAGTGGTTTTGTACAGTGGGAGGAGAGGGGGATGCAGCCTGTAGGAGATGACAGCACCCACACCTGAGTGCTCTGGATATGGCCTGGCATATCTCAAGGCTCAGCACTGAAGGAAACCTTCGGAAAGGTCCTAAATCTGAAGCGAAACTCATGTTTTACTGTTGAACGAGTTTGTCCTGAGAGCTGGCTTGATCCTACCACCGGGGTGCTTCTGGAGTGCTGCTGCTGCTCCGAGGAGCAGCAGGGATGTCTGCGGCGGCGCAAGCTTAAGAAGGATGCGGGGGGAGTGGGGTTGTTTACTCTGAAGCAATTTAAGACCTTACTTAGTTGGTATGATTTTTGCTCTGTATTTTTTCACTGCTTCTAAACAACTATTTTCCTGTGGGCCTCACCAAATTTATGCACAGCTTATGTTCTACTTCATGATGCAAAAGAAAATTTTAAGACTATTATATTCCTTTGGAAAGATGAACATTTAGGACTAAATCAAAGAGGAGAAGAAAGTGTCTTAAACAACTTTTTCTTTGCAGACAAAAGGTTTTTTGCACAGGAGACAAAACTCTCCAAGCAGCAGGCGTTCCAAGGGATATTACTTTGGATATTGCAAATATCATTTGGAAAGGATAACACCTCCAGGATTTAGGAAATATACAAAACTAATCAACCTTCTTCTTTAAGTACCAGGTGCTTTAATTTGCTTCTCTCCGAAACATGAGGCAAGGCAGTGCAGACAGCTGTCCCTCAGACAGGGTACACGCTCCCCTCGGGAGGGAAGGAGGGAACAACAACTGCTTAAGGCATTGCTGGAAGGCACAGAGTGCACCACAAAGATAATGGAAAGAAAATGTGTAGCACATCCTGGTATCGATATCTGCTGGTGAGCTGGATTAAATGTTGATATGTGAACTAGCTGTGGCTCCAATAATACTCTGAATAAACCTAAATAACCTGAAACTTCTGAAAGAAACTGCACCTTCCTCTGCTGCAGAATCTTTACCATTGCCACGTCATTCAGCTGACATTACACTAGGCTTTTGGCTCTGCCACGTTTCTCTCAAACCGTTTGTTCTGTCAAAGATCTCTTTTCTACTTCTCCCCTCCGAATGGCAGAATAATGTAAAACAATACTGGGAGGGTCCTGAGCAGTTCCTCTGGACCATCCACGTGGCTCCAGGCACTGCATGCAGCCCCAGCATGTCAGTGTTAACGATGTCCAATGTATAATGAAGAAAAATATATTTCTAAGATAAAATTTTCTTGAATTCTCATCACTAATGCAACCGGTAACTTATTATTTAACGATGAGACACTTTTTTGTCAGTTAATTCAACTTTTGCTGTTTGTTTTTTGATTTTGATTTTCTTTCAGTTGTCTTTTGCTCCAGTTTTCCTTCTGAATCAAAAAGCAAACATAGTTTTCTGTGAACTATTGGACAATTTGTATATGAACAAACCTAGAACTGCTGCCAGGAAGCAGGTGTTTTGCCCCGTATCAAAAATATTTCGGATATCCTATATGCTGTATCCACTTCTAAATGATGGGGACGTTTTGTAGTGACTCAGTTTTGAGGTTTTTTACTTAGTGGTTAAAACAATGATCTAGCCGGTGGAAGCACCGGTATCACCTGCTCTAAGCTGGTGCACCGCAGCATCATGTATTTGAAATAGGTCAAATCAATTCATGTTACTCATTGTCATTTATCAAATGCTATCTGCTATCTCTGTGATTTTCATCAGAAAAATTGCTAAAACTACAAAATCTAGAGCGCTTTATTAAGAACAACAGTAACCCCTACTGGATTGTGACTGTCTCCCTGGAAACCTATGGAATAAAACACCTTGCACTGCTCTGTGGGAAGGCATAGCCTGCATAGCTACCAGGAGAAACAAGTCATTCTTCTGTTTGCAATAAATTTCAGTGTCATCATATCCTGGATTAAATTGGAAATCCTGCTGAATTTACACTTGAGCTTGCTGAAAGACATCTGTTCCTTCTAAATTCAAATTTAGAGCCTTTTTTTTTTTTTTTTTGTATTTACAGATAAAACCAGGCTGATGCCAGCTAGTTTGTTTCTGTGTTAACATTAACAAGCACGAGGATGTGTTTCTTTATGTGCCTGAAAAAAAGTGCCTTCACGTGTGATTATTAATCTAAACAGAGCACCACAATCTGCTGAATGCCTGTCCAACACGCATCTGAGCCCTTGTAGAGTTTATGGGGAACTATAGGAGGTTTTGGGAAGGAGACACCAGAGCCGAGCTGCAGTAAGCTATTGTGCTAGAAGTCTCCCGATCCACTTAAAACAGCACACACACCCATACCGCAAATTCAGCACTCCGTTTCTTTCTGCGTGCGTAGGGTTTCTGACAAATGAAGACTGCGTTAGCGGAGCTATTTTTGGTGCCATTTTACTATCCTGGGTGTCAGAAAAGTTTGAGTACTGTTTCTGCATATTTATTTTTTTTCTAGGCTATTTTCTCAAACTAAAATCTTATTTTGCCTCTGGGCTTCCACAGGAGTTTTCTGGTATGCTGGAAAACCAAATAGAAAGGGGCAGACAGGAAAAGAGAAAACCCATATGCAAGATAACAACAGATATCACCTACTAACTTAGTAACAAACCTTCAATATTTGATTTTCTTTATTTTATTTGACTTGTTTCATAGGAATTGTACCTTTGCTTACAGAGGCAAAGTAATCAAGCTTGGCACAATAGAGAGGTGATGGAAAAAAGGGTATTTGGATGACAGATGATTAAAAAAGTGAGCTGGAGAAGAGAGAGGATATTTTGCATAGAGGTGTTATGGAGATCTCAATTAAACCAAGAAGCAATGAAGAGCAAAGACTGGGGGATTTGAAAAGCTCTTACATGTATTTATAGCATCTCTTGAGTATATACCGGACACATGCATTTTCACACTTTTTTTTTTTTTTTTTTCCCACTTTCAGTTCAATTCACCTTAAAGAAACAACCAAACAACATGATTTTCTGAAAGGTGTTCCAACTGCTTTTGAAAACAAAGCCCCTTAAACTACCTTGAAAGCCGAACCCCAATCACTTTAGAAAATGCTTTAGAAAACCTTGGCTGCTTAACCCCGATCTGTGCCAACTTCAGTGCCAGTGCTAGTTTAAATCCCCAGTGCTTGTCAGGGGCATACTTGCCCCATGTGGACACTTTGATTCCCTTTGCAATGTGTGTGGAAAACTAGGCACCTAACCTAGCCAACAGAAAATACTGAAGATATTGGTGTGGCTCGGACTGTACTCCATTGTTGTCTCGATTTACATCATATATATATTTATATATGAAAAATATGCATGCATGTATAAATAAAATGAGAATTCTTGTTTTTGATGTTTAAGAGCTCTCGATCTTCTTCTGGCTAACAAAAACACACATTCCTGAAAACACGGAAACAAAAGCACTGGGTAAAACCACTGGCTTAAAGGGACTCCATTTTTTATCTACAGGATTTGGCTACTTTTTGTTCTTAAGCTGTTTAAGAGAATGAGTGAAGACACCTACCTGAGGATGAAAAAACAACTGTCAATACAGTAAGTATTCCTCTTTCCTTCTTCAAAACAATCTTATTACGTTGTTCAAATGCCCCAAAGTGGTGTCAGTCCATGATCACTTACAGCACTCTTGAAAGGAATGGTATTTTTTATTATTTTGATATTTCACTTGCTCAATGCTCTTACATTGCCAGCATGAAGTATACCCTGGATTCTGTTAAAATGTCTATGTGACATTTGATAATGTCAATTTGACAAATGAGTTCTTTATTGCATAAATGCCCACGATTTCATGCAAAGCTACTGCAGGGTATGCCACAGACAAAATTTATACTGGAACAAATGGAGTAGCTACAGTAGGCTGTGGACAGATATTAAGACAACAGCCTGAAGATAAAATCTAGGATAGATCAGCCCATTCCTGCTAAAACTGAACATCCTCCCCTGTTCGGTGTCCCTAACAATGTGAAAAAACAGCAACAGCATGCAGCTTAAATACACGGCTAACCAAGTCATCAGGTATACTACTGGGACAGCCCCCAGAAATTGCTCCGTCCTGCTAAAATTTCAGACATCTGCAATAGCTATCTATGACAAGATGAAATGATATCTTCCCCCTTGAATTTCCACATAGTCACAGTCCAAGTACTTACATTAAAAGAAGTTGCAAGAAGAAAATAGTTTGCCACCAGAATGTTTTTTTTTTCTTTTCTCTGAAATTTTCTATTCATTCTCTGTTTTCATTCATCCTCTATTTCAGCAACACTTTTCTTTAATACTTCCATCACAGTAAGAAAATGCATGACACCAATAAGAGTGCCTCTGCGTTTCACTATGTAAATAGACATTTGAAGACTTCAAAATACACAATTTGATAGAATCATTAAAAACTAAAAATCCATTGCTGTTAAATTTAGAATCTGCAATGAACTTGAAAAACAGTAATGCATATACAAAAAAGAAAAAGCTATCAAATCATGTCCAAAAATAACAAGAATGGTTAAATCACAACTCCTTAAATTCACTGACGAAATTTCTTTCTAGAGAAAGTAATCATACTGCCTGGGTGGAAGTTGCTTTTTCACTATTGTGTCATGCAAATTCACAGTACAATAATCATTTTGACCTATAGAGAAAACACTTAGCAAAGACCTCAATATCTATGAGGACTTACAATAATTAAATCAACACTGAGAACATATAACATTAATAAGCAATCTAATAGACATTTTATTTTATTGAGGTATCATTTTTTAATTATGAAGTAAAAGTTCAATCTGAAAAACTCACAACAGTTTCTTGCATATCTAAAATGTCTAGAATAGCGAAACATTCTAGAACACTAGATGGATTTCAAAACTTTTCATCACTGTATGCACTGAAACAACATTGCTAATTTATTCAGATGCTTTCATGCATAATTACAGGAAATCACGAATCTGTTCTGTTATTTTGTAAGTCTGTCATCAGAAAGGAAAAGCTATCTAATGAATACTTTGAAAAATATAAGTAATTGCAAGTATTAGATTATTAACTGAAATACAAATAGTGTCTAAAGTACCATTTTAATTCTCTAAATAGTTCCCTATTTCTACTTAGGATAAGATTGGGAATGCACAGACTGATTTCAAGCTTTGCCTACACTACAGATGACTTCTGGCATAGCAAGGTTTTCCAAGGATGCGACGACATGAAAATTGTAACACTGTTGAGAAAGCAAAATTCCTTTTTAGGGACATACTTATGCTGCAGACCTATATTTCCACTTTGAAAAGCTTGTGATTTTTTTTTCCCTCCAAGCTGGGAGAGGAGTGCTGTTTGGTTTGTTGTGTTGGTACAAGGCACCACTTTTCTGCTACTGCTAAATTGACTCAAGAAACCAGAGGAATGTATTTAATTCTGCATCAGCAAAGGACCCTTGCCACCCACATGGTTTGTTTCTCTCCTTTAAGCATGTATGAGATATCCAGTAAATGTCACACTCCCCAAACAGACTGTCTTTCCCTCTGCCTTGGTGGGCTTTCATTTAAGTCACGAGCTTTGCAACTAGCAAGCAGCACATTTATGAAAACAGAGCATGGAGCTGAGGGCCTCATTTAATCATTATTAAATCAGCAGAAACTGAATTAAATGCAATCTTCTATTATAACCCCCAAAAACACCTGCCTTGCAAATATTATAGGACGTGACTCCACCTGTTAGCAAAAACTCTATTTATAGCAACAGGAAGAAATTAGAGCCATACCCATAAACCATGACCATAACATAAAAGATACAGATTTTTCCTGTCGATAGTGTTCTGATTTTCAGTGCTGATATCTCTCTTTCCTTTATAAGCCTCTCCATTCAACTGTCTCTTAAAGAATATAAATGCCATTTGGAAGCTTGAAACCGAAACGTTTTTCTTACCAAATGCTATTTTCCTTCATCATATGCTGAGAATGAATGGTTCTTCTTGAACATTCAGCTGCTAAAGAAAAGGAGCATATCAGATTATCACTCTGTCCACCTCGACAAAGGCTCTTTTTCATGCTAAGACGTAAAGGGAAATGAAGATGCAAAACCATAAATACAGGTGCAGTCAGACTGATTTCTCCACCTGCGCAGATTCATGATACTCCTTTTAATGGATTTCTTGGGAAAATGAGGCAAAAAAAAAGGAAATTATGTAGATGCACAAAGAGCAGAGTATACCACAGGGAAAATGCTGGTAGAATAATGAGAGTTGGGATCTTGGCACAGTCATCTTGTGAATATTTTGTCACGCCTGTCTTCAGTGACATCTCAGTCAACAACTGCATGTGGGTCTGAACAGGCAGCTTCACAAGCTACCATGTCGCTGGGGATTGCCACTGGTTATTAAAAGGTAAATTACCCAGAATAAAGGTTTAAAGTAGTTGCACAAAGCTTCAAAGTACTTTTTGTGTGTGAAAATTATTGGCAATATTACGGCTTGCTGAGAGTAAAAAACGTCAGGTGATCTAACACTGAGCTACCTTGGGTAAAGAAACATTTAGGGAATTTTCTGTTTCTTACTTGGCAACACAGCATATAGAAAATATTTACGTAAGATACATTAAAACAACCTCAGTTCCTTGTGTTACTTCTCTAAGAAAGTTTTAAGCTCATTACAACAAAAACTAGTTTAAAGAGAGCAGTTGACCCTTTGACAATCCATCGTTCTTGCTTCTTAGCTGCGTTGCCTTCCCTTCAGATTTACCCACTCCTTTCTGTGTTACTCGAAACATCAATGACAACTGTGTCATGCAGAACTTTGGGGTTTTACGTATACAAAACACATTTTAGAGGCATTTAGTACTGCACGTGTTTTATTGAAGAATGAATGAATAAAACAGCCTGGCTAATTAAGCTGGTCTGGAAATAGTAATCAATTGAAGTTTTAGGTGTCAAAGCAGAATAAAATATGCTTCAGAAGAACCCTTAAACTAATGATATTTTAAATTAAATAGTTTTCAACCAAGCTCTGAAGCACTTTGGGAGCTACTTTTTATATGTCTTCTGAGTACCACTGTAACTACTTCGTAATAGGAAAGGAAAACAAATTTCAAGCACTGGTTATAGAAGGGGATTTAAGACCAAATGCATTGTACAAAGCACCAAAGCATTCACTGTCAGTCAAACACTGTAAGAGAATGTCATCCATCACAATATTCACACATGCTAACTGTTATATCCTAACAAACGCACATATAAGCAAATGGAAAAAATAGTTTAAAGTCTCCATCACCAGGTTTCTAATTAAAGTCTATTACAATGAGGTTCCATGATACAAAAATAATAATAATCTTTAGAATAATAGGTGTGGTACAAGAGTTACACTTCTTCACTATACAAATACTCAGTCCAGTGGTGACAGACTGTGATTCAAGTCGTTGCCTATCCTTACACGGTTCTATAAATGCATGTCTGTTACATTAACACATTACAGACCATAGGTTTTCACTGCAGTTACTTGAAAGCATCTGTTAAGAAAACAAACAAACAAGAAATTGCCCAAGAAATGTCTTTGTTTGTACATATTTTACCTATAACGTTAGAGGAGCATCTTAAGCAATGATGACACTCCTCTCCTCTTGGCACTGTATAGATGAGTGTAAATTGGTAATCTCCAAAATGACCAATACAACACAGCACACTGCATAGCTATTGTAAACTCTACCTTGTTATATAAACTACTGGATGTATGCTAAGTATGAACAGTTTGCATAGTTGCACAGTAATAATTATTCACACCGGGCTCTTTTACACTATTCTTAAAATATGTGCAGCTAACATTCAGGCCAGCAGTTTGCTTTTAAGAATCCACAAACTTAAATTCATATGCTGTTATTCAGGTATTGCTCATACATTTAAATACAGCAGGAGGAATAGGCTATTGTTGAAGACACATTAATTGTAGAATACACTGATTTATCAAAATATTGATTGTACTTAATGTTCTTTTTTACTTTCGAGGGCAAATGTACAAAAGCACATTAAAAAAAAATGCTGGTATTGAATAAAGCCCATGTAAAGAAATAGAAAATTAGTCTAAACCAACTTGTGCTACTTGTTTTGACAATGTCTGAAGTTACAAGGAGAGAAAAATGCATTTGAATAATACTGATGCCCCAGATAGATTATATTTTTTCTGATTCCTTAAGGACTATTTTATATTTATGAGCTCTTACCAAAGGCATATATCTATGACAAAACTGTCATTTTTGAAAATGAAGGAAAGTTGCTGCTAATTCATAAAATTTTAGAGATGCTTAAGAGCTTTCATTAACAATGACCATAGAAAAAGCTCCACCAATATACTGACAGATACCAATTTACATTACACTTTCACATTCGGTGTATTTTTTTTTCATTAAAAATCTAAGAATGTATTAGGAAAAATGCATTAATTACTGACGGCCATTGGAAGGTTCTTGCTAACCTTTCAATATGCCTTCAGAATTAGTTAGTAAATGATGCATTTCTGAAGTTTGTCTTTGCATGCTTCATATATTTACATGAAAATGCATTCCCAAGCAAGTAATAAGCATGAGAAATTACACAATACTTAAACATACCTGTTAGAAGTTTTAAGATAAATGCAAAGTTCCATCGAATTACTGAATGTAGTCACTACAGGATCGCACCGAGAGTTTAAAATCAAACAGCAAGAACTTAATTTACTAAGTGCTGCACTGACTTATGAGTCTGAAGCTCACTGACTACATGACTGAGCTGCATTTAATTTAGTTCAGGACCTGCAAGCATATCTTTTATAACAAACACCTCCATTCTGGTACAATTTTCTTTAGCTTGCAAACTCTGCAATTTAGTTTGAATGTTTTTAAATTTGGTAGAGAAGAGCTTATGTAAATTCTATTAGCTCGTACCTTCCCAGCTAGATAGACACTAGCATCTGTCTCGACGTTTTGCAGTTGTTTCGGGAGAGCAGACTGGGGCTTTTGTGCCAAGTGGAACTACTCTCGCCGTTGATCAGTGTAATTCTTAAAGCCTATTTCACAAAATTGTCATAAATATTTATGTCTCTAAGCTACACGTTCATACAAAATTTTATTCGGATTACTACCGTAGGGCTATTACTCCAGAGAGTCTAAAGTTATTAACATTCTTAGATGTCCGTACATTTCTCATTAAACAGCAAACTTCAACACAAGTTCTTGTAAGACTGTTTATTGAATTTAACGGTTCAGACGGAGTTTAGATGCAGCTTATATAGAAAAAAAATGTCTTTTCAGGTAAACTGCAATCAAAAATAACTTAGTATAAAATACTAAGAGACTAACTGAGATTGTAGATTTCCTAACATGTAAAACTATAAAGTATTTGTGCATGCTCACTATTTGATTTCCTTTGTTGTTACAGAGGACTTGTTAAAAGGAGTTTCTTTGTTTTTCTGAGACTCAGTGTAAGTCTATGAAATGGAATCATCGTCATCACAATTCAGATATACAAGACCAAAACTGGCACAGAAGATTGAAATCTTTTTTTCCCAAAAAGTTGAGGCAGCTTTTGTTGAATGGTATCTGTGTGTGTATGTATATATATATGTATATATAACATAAACTCTGGTGGCTTTGGAGCATCACAGAGAGAATCCTTTTTTTCTTTTGAGATCTTGGAAAAAGCTTCCCACGAGTACCAACGAAAACAGGTAAGGAGGAAGAGAAGTAGCAGCTTGTTTCTTACATACAGCCCAACACCATGCGCAGCTGCCCAGCATCTCAGAACGAAGAGAGAAGGGTAATGAACATCACGTGGAGGCATATCCCCCTCGTGTTGCAAGCACGTCTGAGATTTCTCTGGGGAGAGGGAAGCAAGCACAAGGGTAAAGCATCAGTCTACGTTTCATGCATAGCTACTGTGCGTTGCCCCGCTTCCGCGGCGCTCTGTCAGACATCCGAGTTGGAGCTGAGGTTTGTTAACCTGGGGTCGGCATTGATCTCGTATCTGTAGTGATATCCCTCCATGTGATCCCTACAGGCGTCTCGGATGTTGTGCATCCACTTTTTGATTCCTTTTCGGTTCAAGTACAAAACCAGGAGAAAGATGGCCCCGATGAGAGCCAAGACTATCCCTAAGAAGACGTAGGAAGTCTGTAGCTGGGAAGGCAGGTCTACGGGCACGGAGCAGTTCAGGTCCGAGGCGTTGATCTTCAGCAGGGCTTTGCCCTGCATCTTCTCGGGGTGGGCGCAGGTCAGGGCCTCCTTGCCCTCGACCTGGTCGCTCTCCTTGAGCCAGGCCACCAGGTCCTCGATGGCGCAGTCGCAGACCCAGGCGTTGCGGCCGAAGCCGATGTGCCGCAGGGCGGGCAGCCCGCGCCACTGGGCCAGGGTCCCGTTCCTCAGCACGCCCAGCGAGTTGTCGCTGAGGTTGAGGCTCTGCAGCTGGCCCAGCCCCTGGAAGGAGACGTTCCGCAGCCCCACCAGCGAGTTGTTGCTGAGGTCCAGGTGGCCGCAGGGCGGGCAGGGCGCCGAACATGCCGGCGGGCAGCAGCAGCAGCCCGTTGTCGGCCAGCTCCAGGCGGCTGAGGTTGCGCAGGGCCCCTGCCTGCAGCAGGGCGGCCAGCCCCAGCAGGGCTCCCTGGTCGCGCAGAGCCCCGCGGAGGGCCAGCTCCTCCAGCGGGCTGCCGCCTTGGCCGAAAGCCTGCGGGCTGAGGGACGCCAGCGGGTTGCCGCTGAGGTCCAGCTGCCGCAGGGAGGGCAGAGCCGAGAGGGCGCCGGCCTCCACCACCCGCAGGTGGTTGCCGCTGAGGTTGAGGGCGCCCAGCTCGGCCAGGCGCTGGGCGGCGAAGGCGCCGGCGGGCAGGCGGCGCAGCGGGTTGCCGGTGATGAAGAGGTTGCGCACGTAGGGCGGCAGGTCGGGCGGCACCTCCGTCAGGTTGCCGTTCACGCACTTCACCGTCTTGGCCGCCTCCGAGCACTCGCAGCCGGCCGGGCAGCCGCCGGGCTGCTGAGCCGAGCCGCAGCCTAGTAGGACGTGCAGCAGCAGCCCCAGGCACAGCGCCCCGCCGCGCTCGGCTTCGCGCCCCGACATCGCTCCGGCTCCGGCTCCGGCTCCGACACCGGTGGGCGGCGGCGGCCCGGCCCGCGACGGGACCTTCCCCTCCGGGCGCATTCGGCTCCGGCCGGCGAGGAGAGGAGAGGAGAGGCGAGGCGAAGCCGGCTCCGCTCCGCGGACCTGCGGCGGGGGAAGGAAAGGCAGAGGGCAGCGCGGAGCCCCCCGCAGCACGCCCCCCGCCGCCCCGTGCCTCGCCCGCCGCCCCCGACACGTGGCCGGCCCCGGCTCCGGCTCCGGCTCCGACCCCGCGGCTCTGCCCGTCCACGGCTCACGGCGGGGCGCAGGGCGAGACCCCGCTCCCCGTCCCGGGGCTCCCCGTGCTGGGGCTCCTCATCCCCGGGCTGCCCGCCCCGGCTCTCCCCGTCTTAGGTCCGCCCGTCCCCGCGCCCCCCGTCCCGGGGCTCCCCGCCGCGGGGCTCCCCGCTCCCGGCTCGCCCCGACTGCCGGTGCCGGAGCCCCGTCCCTCACCTCCCGCCGCCGCGTCCGGAGCCAACTCCACCGCCGCCGCCGCCGCCTCCCCCCCGGCCCCGCCGCCAACTCCTTGCCCACCCTCGCCGCGCCTGGCCCTGCCTCCGCTGCCAGGAGAAACCAAGCGCCGCCCCGGCCGGGGGGAGCCCTCACCGCGCCCGCCCCACGCGGCCGCCACCGCCGCTCGCCCGGCCCCAGCCCCCGGTCCCCGCTCCTCTGCCCCGCTCCTTCCCCGGGGCGGCCCGAGCCGGGCACCCGGCGGCACGGAGGGGCCCGCCCGGAGCCCCGCTCCCCTCGGTCCCCCCGGCTGTGGTGGTGCGGCCGGAGGTTTACCTGGCCGCCGAGCGGAGCGCGGGGGGCCCGCGGCCCCGTGCCGTCGAGGGGCAGGGGTTGGGGTGCCTGCGGGGAAGGGGCGATGCCTGCCGGGGAGATCGGTTGTGGGGAGGAAAGTGAAATAAAAAGGGGCAGCAGTACCACCAAAATGTCCCGAACAAGCCGCAAAACTAAACGGAGATAAAGCTGGCGGGACCTTTCGAGGCCCTGGAACAAAGGAATAAACCGGAGTGGCAAAGGGACAGCTTTACACTGAAATATAAGTTACTACTGTGCTAAGGCAAAAGCCTCAATACCCAGCCACGTGGGAAACAACACTTCCCCCCCCCCCCCATATATCAGAGTTATCTTATATCAGAGTTATCTTCCTTCTGCTCTCCTGGCCAGCTGGATTCCCTGCGTGGCCTCTCTGTTCTTTTTTTTTTTTGTCTTCTTTCAGAGTTCCTCCAGCAGGTCCCCCAGGATCTGTGGAACAACCAGCTAAAGCCCCAAGTCTGTAGGACCGCTCTCCCCTGGTGGCATGGGGGTCCCACCAGACCAGGGTGTGTTGGATGGGAAGGTCCCAGGGAAAATGAAATAGGGAACAGCAGAAGTGATAGAGATGCAAGGCACCCCAAGTGACTTGGAGTCACGAGTGGTCCCAAAAGTTTGTGAGGTTGCTGCCTGGATGTGTGGTTACAAAAGCAATGGCACTACACCGCGTGAGTTTTTAGTTTATTAAAGGGAATGTGAGTTCTGGATCCAAAAGGCGGTAGCAGTATAAAACTTAGAGAAGTGGATAGGTGGAGAGTGTCTGTGTTTTGTAAGAGAGGCATGGTTCTCTAATCTGTTAGAACACTTTGGAAGAGTTAAAGGAAAAAAATAAAGTTGGCCTGTTAGACAACAGTGGAATTCAGTGGCCAGTAAGACGTTTCCAGGAGTTTCCTGAAAGAAGATAAAGAAGATAGCCTGTAAAATAGTTAACTAAAAATATTAACAATTGTGAGGTCACATAGAAAAAATACTTACTGCATGTACCCATGTTTTTTTTTTTTTTTTTTTTTTTTTGATAAAACATTTAGATACAATGTCAATTTTAATATAATGCAAAGAACAAAAATACAGATCATACTGTGCTGACCAAAATTGTTCTCCTGGTGCTTCATGAGTGTCTAGATGCATCTGCGTCTCTGAATAGTGTTAGCTCCTCATGCAAGGAACTCCTTGTTCCATGTTTGTCAGTGCTGCAGTAATGCAAATAATAAATAACAAGGATTTTCCTATTAGCCAGTGCTGAATTGCACCTGCTCACCCTGCTTATGTTTGCAAGAAGAAAAACACTTGTTAATCTGCTCTGTTCTCTTCCCGTTTACATAAAACAGCTTTTCTCTGATGTGTACTCTAAGAAGGAAACTGCTTTCTGGTGAATACAGTTTTATTGAGAGGATTTCCTGGATGTGTTTACAATCTGTGCTTGGAAAGAGAAGAAGGAAAAATATAGTAAAATAAATAAATAAATATTATGCTGATTTGTGAATTTGCATTGCACAGCCCATAGAATCTCATCTCTTTTTTTTTTTTTTTTTTTTTTTTTTTTTTTTTTTGAATAAAGCTTATGCAAAACTTTGTACTGAGTTAAAACACAGTATTACCAGTACCATGCTGGTCTGAACCGTGCTGGTTCAGACACCGAGCCTGTCTGAATTTCACCAAGCCTGTCTGAATTTAAGAAGAGATTGGACTGTGCACTTAGTCACATGGTCTGAACTTTTGGGTAGACCTGTGCGGTGTCAAGAGTTGGACTTGATGATCCTTAAGGGTCCCTTCCAACTCAGCATATTCTATGATTCTATGATTCTATGATTTGCAAAGACACAGTCTGGACTAGACTCAAACTGGAAGACAGTTTGCCACAAGCAAATTGTTCCTGTGTCTGTTATTCCTCTGGGTTGGCTGAGAAGCTTCTGTTAACAGGAAAAATCAGTACTCCAGTATTTCAGCTCCCCCAGCCTGAAAATGTGATGCCTGCCTAAAGGAGTGCAGAGAGTTGTAGAGAGAACTGGCAATAACTGATAGGAAAATTTATGCTTCTTCTGTGAAGTGTTTCTACATTGCCTCTACAGTGCTTGAAGATAGGAAGTGGCCTTGGAAGGGTGGTGTTTGTGGTGTGCTAAAGTTTATACACCAAATGAGCAATAGCACAGGGACCAGAATTCTTTTCTTTCACCAAAAATATCTGCCCACAAAAAAAGGAAGAACAAGCTGCAAGTTCCATCTGCTTCCTCACATGGAGAGATCCAGCAGGTCCTCCAAAGGATACCTTCTGTTTCCCTTGGGACTCGGCTTAATTTGAAGAAACATCATCAGAATACTTAAAATGGTGCCATAAAAATACTTAAGCAACCAAATGCTACCTTGAATTCTTTCGTGAATGCTTTATTCCGTACTCACATGCTACACACATAAACATTTATGTTCTGTTTGTCTTAAGTGTTAAGGTACACTTAAATTTATATGGTAGATTTATAAGGTAGTTATTGGTTTTTATATAAATTGAAACAATACAGAATACAATCTTCACATTATTTTTTAACTAGCACTTAGTTCCAGACACAAAAACACCCTGCCCTAATGATCTGGTGACCTACTCTGGTTTTCACTGTCTATACGATAAATGCAGGATAAATCCTACAATTATCTTTACTTCTCTGTGGAAATCATTCAGTCATTAGTCACTATACAAGATAAAACCCCATGTTTGTATTTTCTTACATACTGTCCATTTTTATGTTGAAGAAACTGGAAGCCAGTCTTATACAAACAATGTCAATTTTTAATACATTGAAAGCGTGTATTATTTTTTTCTGGTACTATATGAAAAAAGATTTCAGCTATAAGCAACCTTTTTGTCTTAAAAAATAAGTAAATTGGGAATGTCTAATAATGCACTCTTATGAGTTCTGGGGACTCTGGCATCCTTTAGGTGGAGATGGAAGGGATGATAGCAGACAAAGTGTCCTCACCTGAATATAAGCAACACCAAAAAATTTTAAGTTATACAGATACAGCTCACCTGGTTTTCTGGTGATCAGTAACAAAAAATGGCATAGAAGAGGCTCAGCAGGTTTGGGAACATAGTGGGTTTGATTCCCCACCATCTTCTGCGTTGTGTTGCTGTCTGTGCTCTGGCAAGGTGAATGCAAAGGTGAACGCCTCCCCTTAGTGACAAGCATGACTGAAAAATCATACTTGTATGCAAGTATGCAAGATTAAAAAGCCTGGTGAATCAGTTACCAACCTCTTTTCCTCTATGAACATTGATCCTTTGAGACCTGTCTCTGGCCACTGTGAGGTCTCTAAGCTCTTGAGGTGTGTAAGTTCCTCGTCTACTGAGTTCTTTTGCTTTGCCTTCCCAGCCTTCTCCTGCTTTATCTCAACTCCTCGCATCTTAGGGTTTCCTATGCCTGTGTTATGAAAGGAATGTGTATTTAGGAACTGGAAGGGAATGAGACCAGGAAGACAGCAAGACAGCGTTGTTTTTTTTCACTCTGCATTTGTATAGTACTTTCAGACAGCAAGGAAGGAAGATGATACTTTCCCTTCCCTCCAGCACCAGCGACTCCACCTGAAATACTGCATTCCATTCTGGCATCCTCCTGACTAGAAAAATGACAAGAAAGAGTGAAGAAAGAAAGAAAAGAGCAGTAAAAGTGATTCAGAGGCTAGATGTATACTGACTTATGTGGAGAGACTAAATTAACTTTAAAAAGCTTGCACAAGCAAAAGGCCACGGAAGATATCTCTGTCAGAAAGCAGACTGTAAAACTGAGTGAAGAAGGGAGTTGCTTATAGTTAGTTATTCAAGGTGGGCAGGGATGATGGGATAAAATGCAGAAAAGAAAACTGCATGACTGATATAAAATAAGCTTGCCTACATTACAGAGCTGTCTCCTAGCATACTGTGCTACTGGTATTCTACGTTGATTAATTTTAAAAAGTCCTTCAGAATTAATCATACGATCTCTGTGCTATATTCAACTGAATAAACCCGTGAAGACATGACTAGTACATACCTGTGTTTCTGCCATGCTGGGAAAGAGTCTTAAAGACTCTCCAGCTGGTGCGTGTTGGTAAGTCTTGATGTATGAAAGGTAAATTTTGGACTTTTCCTGACCACTTCTTACAGATTTGGGAATCTCTTTCCTTAGATCATGGTTGTCAACACTTAAAAATTTTATGCAATTTCTCACAATTGCTTCAATCTAAGAACCTCTTACTTAGGTTCGATCTTTTTATCCCATGGAAGTCCACCATTTGTCTTTAAGTCCACTATGGTGAGAAATAGAAAGGTTATGCAGTAACTGAGTGTTTTGAGAGGAATACATATCCTTAATTTTCCCTTTGTCTACTGCTGTGACACTGTGGCCAAAAATCACAATGTCCTCTGAAATTACATGTAGAGTCTATTACGTGTCCATTCTGCCACTCTCATTCTGATAAAATTAATATCAGGATCAAAATACATCAGCTTTCTCTGTCTAAATTTGCCTGCTTAAAATACAGTAGTTACATGGATTTAATACAATAATGAACCTGATGTGTGTCATCACCAGCTAGCCATTGAAAGTTAATTTTACTGCACTTACTGAACAATTTTAATATCTTTTATGGGTACCACATGCATTTTACATTAGAAATTCAGTTATAATTATGAGCCTGATGTCATAAATGGCTTGAGGTCTGCCCCATTAGATTTATTATTCATGAATATAAACTGGAAAAAAACTTCAGTCACAGATAAGGAGCCAAAGTCTTGCTCTGGGTTTGGAGCAAGAGTCCACCTAG